AGGGAGGGGGGAAGGGAGGGAGAGAGAGAGAAAGAGAGAGAGAGAGAGAGAGAGAGAGAGAGGGGGGAGGGGGAAGGAAAGGGAGAGGGAGAGGAGAGGGAGAGGGAGAGAGAGAGAGAGAGAGAGAGAGAGAGAGAGAGAGAGAGAAAGAGAGAAAGAGAGAGAGAGAGGGAGAGAGAGGCAAAGAGACAAAGAGAGAGAGAGAGAAGAGAAGAGAAGAAAATAAAGATAAAAGTGACTGAGAAAAAAAATAAAGACAGTCTAAAAACGAAAATAGAGAAAAAATGCGAAAAGGAAGAGAAGAGAAAGAGAGAAAACAAAGAACAGATAACAGGGCAACAGAGGAGACGGGAATCGAAGTTCTCCAACCACACGACTTGAACTCCACTTAAGAATACGTTGTTCTTCTCCCCTTAATCCCATCGACTTGTGCAGTCACATCCTGTTGCTAATTGCCTCATTATCTCCGACATCATCAACATCGTCATTAACACGATCCCATAAATAACTTTCGCATCAATTGCCGAAATCTTCTCGGTCATTAGTATTCATCACGGGCTTCGTTTCTTTGTTAGCAATATTGTTTGTCTTATGATTAAGTTATTTTCATCAGTAGCGTCTTCGCTGTCATCACTGGGTTTCGTCATCATTATCTTTACTATCGTGACCATGTCATCGGCATGATTATCTTGATCATCGTCATCATCAATCAACACAACTGCAATTATCCCTAAGCTTCATCGACTCTTTCCTGTTAAGCATTATCGTCATTTTGCTCCCCACCCCCCTTTTGATCCTCCTCCCTAACCCCCCAACCTCCCCCAATTCCTTCCCTACCCCCCCTACAGCCTTCACTCCCCCCATGCAAGAACATAGACCAATCAGCTACGGGATCATTAGAACCCCCTCCCCCCTTCTTTATACCACTTATTCGAAGTAACATACGCGCCAAATATGCTAATTGGCAACACGCCCTAGTAGCGACAAGCGATGTAATTGGCTCGTAGTGTTGGAGGAGGAGGGGCCAGGAGGGGGGGCGGGGGGCTGAGGAGGCGGAGGCCGGGAGGGGGGCCTATGGGGGGGCGAGGAGGAGGAGAAGGAGAGGCTAAATTGGGTCATTTCTATAAGTTTGGATAAATATTCTAGAAACTTCTTTGTCGACGGTGGAGCGGATGAAGGGGGGGGGGGGGGTACAGTACATTGGAGATATTTCAAGCGAAAATTACTATCACCATTGAGATTATTCTTCTCTCTATAATCACTATCATTCTCGTTAGTAACAGCAGTAGTAGTAGCAATATCACTATTACTGCTATTGTTATCATTATCACTGTCATTGTCATTGTGATTGTCATTGTCATTGTCACTGTCATTTTCATTGTCGTTGTCATTGTCATTGTGGCTGTTATTGTCATAATCATTATCATTATCATTACCACTACTTTTTTGTCTTGTTACTTTTGTTATTATTATTATTACCATTATTATTATCATCGTCATTAATATCAACACAATTACTACTACCATTTCTAATACAAGGAGCAATAGTGCTTTCATCCCAATCATTATCCTTTTGTTATCCTCCATTTCGGAAAAGGCGTGATAGCAAGACTCACAAATACAAGCAA